CTACTTTAAGATTACCTAACAAATAATGTTGATACATTAGTCGAATATCTTTGAAGAACACTTTGAGAACATATTTATAAATATATTTATATATCCGTTTATGTGTTGAACGCAATTACAACTTTATTTTATATTTTTTTTTGGGCTTGACACAATGATGTAAACATTCCCAACTGATAAAATATATTTTCTTAAAGGGCTTTTAAAGTATGTTCCATACTAATGAAATCTAAAATTAGTGTATGTATCGAAAAACCGCCATAAATCACTTAAAAACATGGTGGTATTTGGAAATGCGATTGCGAGGGGCCGACTTTAACAGGGGTTTTCATTGTGCCAAACGAAAACCGAAAAACCGAAAACCCGACCCCCTTAACTTATGAGCTTTTCTCACTGATGCAATGCCAAAATGCATTGCGCATGGTCTTATTTCGTTTTATTTGTCTGCTTCGTTTTCCGTTGCGTGTTTTGCCCGTTTGCCTTTGGCTACTTTATCATCTTTTAGTCCGTCTTCGTTTTCATTTTCATTTTTATTTTCATTGTTTTCTTTCTTGGCGACTAATTGCAACTGCAGCTGCGCATGCGTCTTGTGCGCGACTTGCAAGCGTTTCAGGCGCGTTTTCAGAGCGACTTTTGCGATTTACTGCAATTGCGAATGCAAGTTGAGAAAAGAAAAGAAATAAAACCAGGAAAGAAGAATATAACCATAACATCCCGGGTCTCATTAGCAGCCAATTGCTAAGCGAATTTCTCTGATGCGACTGAAAGAATACAAAAGACGTACACGGTGACAAAATAAGAGTTATATTTTAAACCACAAAAAAACCTATTGAGTAAAAAATTTAAATTAAATATTATTCAGCTGAAAACCAAAAATAGAATTTATACTTTAAATTTTAAAACTAGACTTTAAAATAATTTGTTATTAAACCTTTTTTTATAATTCGAAATTTCATAGGACTTTATAATTTATATTTTATTAAGATGCTTTGAGTGAGCCCCCTTTTTTTTACTCTGCAGAGGTTTATCATTTGGTTCGCTGACTGACGAGTGAAACAATTTTGTCATCAGCCAACGGGCACAAATACACGTACCCAGTCGGTCACATAGATACTGTGTGCATTATTTCATTTCCATTTGGCTCCGCTTTATTTATGCATTTCATTTTCTCGCTCTGATTTGCCCCGCACTTTTCTGGTTCTGGTTCTGGTTCGAAATTTCTCTTTTAATTTGATTTTTTCTTCTTTGTTAATGCAGCGCCAAGTAGAATTTGTCGTCAGAATCGTCGTCTGAATCTCCTGATTGACACTTGAGCTGACATTCTCATTTCAATTCGAATTCGTATTCGTAAATTCGTTCATTCCAATTTCAGCTTCCGTTTTTACCCATTCTCACCCCTTGAATGTGTCATTTCTTTCTCACATTTTGTATTTGTATCTCCCGTTTTTTATCTTAAATGGTTTTATGAGTCAAGTTACTCGGGGCTCTTCGACATCGCGCTACTGATAGGAAAACTGGGAGATTCTACTTTAAGGCTATCATTGACCTCCAAACTTAAATGAAACCTTGTGTGATAAATTAACATTTTTTTGCTTTAGAATTTTATTTTCTGCAAAGTAAACATTATAATCATTCCATTCCAATGATTTCTCTGAAATTTAACATGTTTAATTATTAAATATAAATTTGTATGCAAAATGTTTATAAAATAATAAACATTATTGAAATGAATAAGATGCAAATTTTAAAGAGAAAATTATATTCCAAATCAGTTAACAGAAACCATTTCAATATAAACACTGTTCTCATTAGCTAAACAATCGTATAATTGCCATGAAGAGGCATAAAAACACTTAAAAATTGAGTACATTTTTATCGCCTATTCCACGGTAATTTTCATAAATTATTTTATTTGTCAATTATGGACTAATTCCCCGGATTAGATTCCATGCTTGAATGGTCAAAACCACCGAATGAGTCACACGCACGTTGGTCAATAAAAAAAAGAGACCAATTTGAGTTGTTTTCTGTTTTTTTTCACCAGCAGCTCTTTATTTTAATTCGAGGCGTTGACAAAAGCTGCTGGCTTTGGTCACCCCATCCCATCACATCCCATCCCCTCCTCTTTATTTTTCCCACTCGATCTATCTGCTGTTGCTGTCGCGCTTAATAAAATTCATTAAAAAAAGGAGAAGACCGCGGCCCAACAATAATAATCATAAAGTGAACTGCGATGAGGAGGAGGAGGAGGGGGGCGTGGCATCTAGGGGTAAACACCAATACAAACGCAGGCAGCATTCAGCGCAGCTATAGAGTTGGCAATTTAACTATTTTATTGCCAGATACAGGAATTATACTTAAGAATATTTTAACAAATATTACGAATTTTTGAAGTTTGAAAGTAAAAAAAGTGAATTTTTTATAGTTTTCTGTCTCTAAATATTAATTAGCTTATTTTCAGGTTCACCTTTGTATATTATTTAAACTATTTAAAAAAAAATTCAAACGTTACTTTTCTTATCTTAGCTTTCTGTTTTGAAATGTTTAAATGATTTGAAATCACTAGAATTGCCTAAAAAAAATCATTCTTAAACCCTCTGATTTTACTCAGTTCGAGTGATCAAGTTAAATTCTCAGTTTTAATTATCATCTGCCGACAACACTGCCTTGCAACTCATTACCGACAAAAACATAATGCTGCCAAAGACGCGAGTCTGGTTCTGGACAGGGACATGGATGTGGATGTGGATGCGGCTGGGGATGTGGATGTGGATGTGGATGGGGACTTGGACAGGGCCGTCAGCCATCAACCATCATCCACGGGCCATGAGCCGTGGGCCACCCCTTTTAATTCTTCTCTTTTTTTCGGGGGAGAGAAGACGGCCGAGGAAGACCCGCAGAAAAGCCAAACCAAATATGAGCCGGGGTAAAAAAAAATACGAGATGGAAACTGAAAGCGAAAAAACATGAAAAATATGTTCTTATAAGAAATTGATTTGCCAAGCAATGCAAATGAAAGATACCCATTGTAAAAATATATTTAAAAATACAATTTTTGTATTAAAACATTGCAGAATTGTTTTTTTAAATCTTCAAGATAGGTAAATGTTTTTTTGAACTTATAAAATTCGTAAATTTCTCAACGTCTTGGTAGCTTTTATTAGTCAATGTTTTTATGAAAAATTCCAGGTCTACGAGTAGGTTGATCACCCGGATATATAGAGTATATACCCTATATCATATAGGGTAGCAAAAAGCAAACAGTTGCCTGCAATGTTGCTCGCAGCCTGAATGCATTTCTTTCTTTCGATGTGGATGTGTGTTGTGTTGCTTTTTGTTGTTGTTGTTGTGTATCTGGTGGATACATTTGATGCCGACGGCAGCCAACAAGCCAACAACAACAATTGTGTTCATTGTGCTTAATTAATTTAGTTCAAAGATCAAGCGACCATATTGCTGAACATCGACATGCGATTCTTCTGCGGCTTCTCCTCACTTTTATTCTCATTTTCATTCTCATTCAGAGTCTCACTCTCATTGCCGTTTTAAAATTTCTCTCCCCTTACTAAAGATGCATCTTTATCTTTCCCTCTCTCTTTATATTTATCCAGTTCTGTTTTATATAGACTTCGATATTTCTTTAAAACTCAAGTGATATGCTATATCTTGAACTACAGTTGGTTCTAGTTTAAAAGGAAAGAGGTTGAAGAATGTTTTTAATATTTTAACGACATTATCATCTTGGGATCTAAGATTTTTATGATTATTTTTTTTTTATTGTATATGGAATAGCTTTTTAGCAAAAGGCTTGGTTCACGTTCAAAGTGCAGTTCTCATTTCCATATCAATAAAAAGTTGAGCAACATATGATTACAATATTTACAAGGTTTACGAAATGATTGTGTTTGGCATTTATCATGGTTAGTTTCCCGAGCCCCGCCCCCTGGCGAATTCGAATCCGATTCCGAATCCCTCCCTATATTTCCATATATATATATATTTTTTTTTGCACCCCCACCTCAAAAACGAACTCCCAATTGGGGACCCCTTCCCAAAGACCGTTCTCGATATGCTTAATTAGGCAACGGGCGTTGAGTATAAAATGCGTCTTTTGTCGCTGCCACGCCCCACGCCCCACCCCCAACCCTTACACTCACACACACATACATGCATACATATACTGATAGAAGCACACATGTTGCCCATGTTCCATTACACACATGTGGTTCAGTTTCAGTTCAGTTTAGTTTGGTTCTGTTCTGTTCTGGGCTTTAGCCTCCCCATCGCTGATCTCTGGCCAACACTATTCAGCATGGAAATTTAAAATTGGACTCAAATTACCCTTGTATGAGCAATACCTTAATCTTGGCTTATCAAAAAAACAGCTCATAACGTGAGCGTGATTTGTTTGATTCCCCTTGAGTCACCTAATGCACATTATATGTACATAGTTCTATAAAAAAATATAATACTAGATATGAGTATATTCGCATTCTTTAAGAAATTCTAATGCCCATAATGTTTTCAAATTGTATTTTACATTTTTATCGAAGAATTGTCTTAAATATGAAGTAGAGCCCTGCATGAATTGATTCTATGAACTATTCTGAATTTTTTTGTTTTATGTGAATGAATTATTAAATAAATTGTAACATATAATAATTAAATTTAAAAAAAAAATATTACAATTATTTTAAACAATTTATGATCCTTTCACACTTTAGTTTCTTTAATTAAAACAAAATTAAAGTAAATGCTTATAATTCCCAACTTGTTTTTCGTCTATGCCTGAATTCAAAGCGCAGTCAAGGATGTGGGTGGTGCCCAATGTGCCCCTATTTTTGCTGACTAGTGTGGAGTGCTCGCGTTCCCTGGGTGACCGGAGGTCGGCATCGCCATAGCCACCGACTCTTTTCGCCTCGACGTCGACTGCGACTGCGACGGCGGCGTCCGTCGCTTACGAGGCGTACCGCCACCCAAGAAAATTCTCGGCGGCATCTTGAGTTCAATTTCAGTTGATATTCTGTTAAATTCGCGAACGCGTCGCGCCTGCAGCTCTGATCCAATACGATCCGATGCCCAGCCCGATTTCGTAATAATAATTCCCATCGATACAAGCTCGGCTTATCAGTGGTACCAAATATTATTGTTATATTTTTGTTTCGGTGCTCATGTGTTTCGGGAAAATGTGTGTTTCAATAGGAAAAGTGAATCTCTGAGGGAAATAGAGAAAGAGAGAAAGTGAGATAAGCGCTGTGAGATAACTGGCTCGGAAATGGAAAAATCAGGGGGCCAAACCCCGTTTTAATTTAATTCTTCTTTTTGCCCATAAATGGGTGTGTGGTTTTTTTTGTTTTTCTGTTTCTGAATTACAATACACATTGTAAACATTCATCATCATTCATTCATTTGTCGCTGGCCGCAAATGGACGGCGATGAATCATCGGCATAGGCAAATCCGTAGATAATTTACAGTCGCCGATTTACATGCCACATGGAGTGGAAGTGGCTGCAGTTTCGATTTCATTGTTGTCTCCTTGGGAGCTGCATAATTTCGACGGGTTTTTGTTGACGGGGTCAAGAAGGTCTCGGCCTCGAATGCCCAAAAGTATGCAAGTCGCTGAAATGAAGGTGCTAATTCGTCAGCCGAAATTGTCAGTTTAGTTTTGGATATTTGAAAAGGAATATTCTTAACTTGGAATATGATATATATGATATATATAAAAAGGAAATAAAAATTCTGTGAGCAGTTTGGTATGCTAAAAGAACTTGATGAGCTAAGATACCTAATAAAACCCATAATAAAATGGCAATTATACGCTTTGGTGACCCCGAATATTTTCTATTAATCCAAAATTCTGGGTCCAAAAGTTGAACCCATTGAAAATAATATTCCCAATGATATAAATTGCCTTGAGGAGTGAATAAATGTGCATAGCAAGGTGATTAGGAGTTAAAGTTAGGATAGGGTGACCCCGATCAGTAGATTTGAGAAAAGTTTTTTAATAATTCCTTTAAGAAATAAATCAGTTTAAGCTATAGTAGGCCATAATTTTTGGTAATCTTTAGTTTGTAAAAGCCCCAAACTTAGTAGGCCTGGTCAACCAATTCGGCAATGTCAGTTCCCATTTAGTTCATTCAAAGTACAAACGCCGCTCGAGCAGCACCGGATACCAAAAATATATTTTTGTTACTTCCATTTTTAACCAAAGTGCAAAATTTCAAAATTAAATTTGTGCAATTGGAGCAGGAGTAAGTAAAGTTAGGTAGTGTTTCCTTGTCAAACCGATTAGAGAGCCTAAATAAATTGTTAGTATCAAAAGAAAGAAAGAGGGAAAGTGAGGCAAGATGAGCGAACCACAGAAGGCGCAATTGAAGGAGATCTACGCCCTGTTGAACAAGGAGAATCCCTCGGGGGTCATCACCGTTGAGGATCTGAATGCCGTGATGCAGCACCTCGGTCGTCGTCCGAGTACCGAGGAGCTGCGCGAAATGGTCCTGGCCGCCGATTCCGAGGGCAGTGGATCCGTGGACTTCCAGCGCTTCTGCCGCATGATGATCCGCGCGGAAAGGGAGCTGCTGCTGCGCGAATCCTTCCAGCGCTTCGATCGCGATGGCGACGGCGTGCTCTCCGCCGAGGAACTGCAGCTGGCCCTGGAGGAGACCCTCGAGGAGGAGCCCGACCGGGCCACCGTCCAGGAGATGATGCAGGAGGGCGACCCCAACGGCACCGGGTTCATCTCCTATGCCAACTTCATGCAAATGGCCCTCAAGTACCAAGAGGATGAATAGTGTATCGTAATTTAACAGCAAGGTCCGCGAATACTCCAAATGATGCCGTCAATGAATATATTTCATAGAAACTGTCAGTTTGCCTTCCCATTTAATTTCATAGGGGTTCTAGTGGAGCTGGAAAATTATCGATATTTTCGATATTTTTATTTAGATGTTTTAAAGGGAAAACACAAATTAAATATCAAGAAATAGCCAACTGTCGATATATTTTGTAATATAGAAAATTCTTTATTTGTAGATCAAGAGCTCCCTAGAGAAATTATTATCAGAAACATTAGTAAGGCGAAATTTTGTGTAATCGCTTCACCCCAGGGATTCCGATTTCTTCAAAACAGTCAGCTCTTTTGTAATATTGAAACACTTGTATTGAAAAGTAGTACAACTTTTATAATGACTCTAAAACAAAATATGAGTAATAAGCAGGAAGCTTTCATAAAAATAACATTTCTTCTAGGAGGATGGCAAACACGTTGTTTCGCTTCTTTTCATTTAAATTTCCATTTAAAACCGGTTCTCACTCTAAGCCTATCGAGATTAATGGCCCTGATGATTAATTACAATACGATATATTTTATTCCGCTTTTTTGTTTTGCTATTTAAAAATGTATTAAACTCTACTAAAGTTTTAGTTAAATTACCCTGTATTAAAGGTGTATTTTCTGTAACAATTGGTCGTGAGGAATATAAAACATGTTTTAGGCACCTCAAAACCCAACCGGTTTCCCTTTTTAGGCTCCAAGCCGATTATGATTAATGGCCACGATCCTAGATCGAAGAATCACCAATAAGGCGAAGCCTCCCGAAAAAGATTTTAAGATCTACTGTCGAGATATAGGTACATGATTTCCCCACTTAGGCTGATCAAGAGATTAATGTAGGGAGCCTCGTTTCTTGGCACCTTTACTCCATTAGAGCCACTCTCGCCTTCCGTTTGGTGTAGCTGTGCACTGGGAAAAATCATTAGATTGAAAATATTAGGGATAAGAGATATTCCCACATAAAAAGGTTTTTAGAAGATAAACATATTTAATTTATTTTACAGTATTGTTATTCCCATAAAAAATCGGTAGAAAAATAGGAAAATTCACCGAAATTCTATTATTTCGTTCTGTAAAATTAGGATACAACATTTTTTTCCGTGTGAATTATGCACATTCCATATTCCACAATCCACATTCCATTTACCTGGCGGCACCTGTGAGGCGTAGGTGAGGAAGTCGACGATCGTTACACAATTCTCGGCTGGCCAACCTGTTTCTCAAGGGGCTTCTAGCCTCTCGCCTCTCTTCGCTCTGTCAGGGCCATCAATTTGAATGCAAGGGACGTGGGAAGGGGGTTCCGAAGAGACGCTCCCCTTCGACCGACATGCTTTGGTGGATCGGTTAGTGACTCATCCCCGTATATCAACAAAAACAAAGCCCAGCGCTCAACCGAAAAGAAACCACCGTAGAATTCCAGCCAGAAGAAATGCAGTCAGTTAACGTTTAAGCCTGCGGCATTCAGGGATTTATCGTAATAAAAAACAATTAAAATTAACTTTAAACGATGCGCTATAAATTATATCAGGGAGAAAGATTTGTAATTAATCTTTATCATTTTTTATCATTAGAAATAATCAGGAATAATGGTTTCGGGGTCACCAAAATATTTCCAAAGATTTGAATTCCTCTTCTTCTTGTTTTTTCCTTTTTGTTTCGAAAATTGAATCTGAAAAAATTAGTGACTTAAAGGCAAAGTCGATGTCTGGAGGCCAATTGAGTGCAGAGTGCAGCGACTTTGGCTGAGATAATGAATGTCTGTTTATATTGAGATAGTGCCGTCACTTAAGTTTCAACTTTAAACAGTTCAAATGCAGCGTTTTTCATCTCAGTGGTTACACAGTGAGAAATGGAATCGGTATGGGAATTAATGTTGGTTTATTTTTAACTTTGTTATTCAGTTATACATTTTTCCTAATGATTTGCCAAAAGGTTATAGATATCAAAATATAGAAACTTGACCAATTTTATTGCAGTGTATTGCAGACAGTGCTCACTCACTATCTCTCTGTTTCTCTCGTTTAGCCATAATTTTCTCACTTAATATTAAATTATGACATGACGCAGCGGCGATAAAAGAAAGTAGGGAGAAAGAGGAGAAATGCCGGAGCAACGAAAGGACATAAACGATAACCTTAGAATGGATACGCACATTTACGAGAATTTGCCCTCCGCCTCCCTTTCCCCCTCCCCCTCCCCCAAAGGTCAGCTCAATTTGGAGTTGCGAAAGTATTTTCCGGGCGAAACGATCTACGAGAATTTGTGCCGTGGCTGCGGCTACGGGGTTTTTGCCGCCCAAGGACGCTACTGTCATTTCTGTCAGTGCATCGTGAGCGGTGGGGTGGTTAGTCCGCCGCCTCCTGCGCCCCCCTCACCGCCCCTTTCGCCGCCCACTTTCGCGGAGAGAGAGAGCAATATCTACGAGAATATCTGCGATTTGTGCCGCGGCATTTACAGTGACAACGAGCGGTGTCAGTGTCAAAGGTCAACAGCCACACCTACTCAAACCCCCACACCCACAACACCTTCCACCCCACCCACCAAGGTCAAGTCGCGCTCTCTTCTGGGCTACTCCCGGTCCAGTGCGGCGACCTTGACCCGTCTCTTCGGCTCTCTTAAGCAGCTGAACCGCTCTTCGTCGCTGCAGCGCCGCATCTTCCAGGGATCGAGGACACCGACCTCCAACGGTGGCTCCCTGGAGATCATCCACAACGTAGACGAGGTCTTCCGCACCCGAGAGACCTTTGACCTCCAGCGCATCTGCGAACTCAAGCTGCAGCAGCAGCAGCAGCAGCAGCAACTTAAGAGCAGCCAGAGCGATCAGCACATCTACGGTCGCGTAAGAGAGCCCGAGCAAGAGAAGAGAGAGCGCAAGAAGCCGCGTGTCTCTCGCATTCGCCTGCTGCAGGACGAAAGAGCGGCCGCCTCCGCATCATCCTTGTATCTCAACGAGAGCATCTGCCAGTGGATGACGTCACTGCGCAGGCAGGTGCACCACTACGAGGAGGGGGCGTGGCAGCAGCCCAAGAGTGTACCGGCGCGAAGAGAGCATCTCAGCGGCGAAGAGCACACGGTCACGCTGCGAAGGACCAAGGAAGAGGATGAGCAGAGCCTGATCAAGGACTTTAAGAGAAAGCTGCAGCTGCAGAGAGAGGCGCTGCCGAAGGAAGAGTTGGATAAAGAGCAGCGACGATGCGCCATCACAGCCGAGTTTGTGAATGACTACCTAAGCGCTCTTAGCGAAGAGAACACGCAACAAGTGGCTTTGATTAAAGGGGAACCAGAAAGAGAGAGTGCTAGTGCGCTGCCCCAAAACTCTCTCTTACGCCTAATGCAGAGCCTCGCTCGCTCCGCCAGCCTGCACGTGTGTGTGCGTGGCTTTCTCACCGCCTATGACAAATCGTTCAGCCAGTGGTTGTGGCAGCAACAACAACACAAACACAAACCGATCAACGGTTATCGCCGCCGCGAGAGAGCGCGTGACTCAGTTGAATGGCGCCTGCTTCTCTTCTTCGGCTTCAACGATCGCCGAGCTCCCAGCGAACGGGCGATTTCAGTTTCGCCCGTTTCGCCAGTTTCGCCGGAGATTTCAAAAAGTGACGACGTGTGTGCTGCATCGCGGCGTCGCGCGATTCGAACTACGAGGCGAACTAAGAGCGTGGGAGAGGAAGAGGGAGAGGGTGTAAGCGGGGGCGAGAGCTCCACCAACACCAATAGGAGCAAAAACAATAATAAGCATAACAACAACGACAATATCAAAGCTTTGATGGCGGCGCCAAAGCCAAACGGCGAGGCAGAGCGCCCCACAAGCAACAACTGCAACAATAACAACAACAATTGCAGCAGCAGCAACAACAACAACAATCACAGCGATGACAATGAAACCGGCAACAACAACAACAACAACGGCAACAACACCAGCAGTTGCAATGTCAGCGAGCAACAACAACAACAGCAAATCACACAGGTCAAACCTCATTAAAAAGAAAAAAAAAACAATCAAAAGTAAAAATACAAATGCACAGAGAAAAAACACGCAAAATAGCAATACAAAAAAAGTTATCAAAGATTATATATTATTAAAATAATGAAATCCTGAAAATGAAGTCATGAATGACATACAAAACATAAAAACAATAACCGTTGAATAAGAAATAATAGTTAACAACCTACAAGTCCGGCCTTTTCGAGTTCAATTTCATTATTTTTTAGATTTTTTTTAATTTTAATGTGATTTAAATTCCATATTTGTTTTTCTCTCTGTGCACTCGTTGTTGTTGCGTTTCACTGCAGTTCACAAAATTGACTAACGGTTCGCGTGCGAAAGGGATGCCAATGTTCGTTCGATTGGCCATTGGAACACACTCACACTCTCACCAAAAGAAAAACAAAAACAAACAAACTTATCTAATTAAAAACAACCATTAAATAATGCAAAAAATGTGGAGGAAACAACAAACAAGTTCGCAATGAAAACAAAAGATAACTCTAAAATAATCAGCGTTTAATTAACGTTCTTTTTTTTCTCTGTTTTTTTGTGATATATATTTTTTTTTCGATTTTGGCTTATTACAAAAGTGCCTGCCATATATTCAAAAAAAAAAAACACTGTGAAATTGCCGTCAAACCGTTATGAAAAAGTTAAATATGATTGTGATTCCTAGAATTGAGCGTTTTTTATGGAGTTAATTCATTGCTTTTTATGGGCGGCATATTAATGATAATTTCCATTAAAAGCAAGTGGGGGAATCCCTCACCATAATTGCTTTAGTTATTCTACTTAATTAACTAATCAACTACACGTTTTTTTCTGTTTTCGATCAGTTTTAAATATTTATTGAATGTGCACGAGTAACTTTGACACTTGTAAACTAAATAATTTACAAATCTGCCAACACTCTGTAGTTCTTTACAGTTCAAAAATCCCATTAAATCCTCTGAATCATTTCCGAAAAAATCCCCAATCCTTTTGCAAGTCAATTTTTCAAGCCAGTGAAACGCAACATCGAAATTCAGGCTATTATCTGCATGAAAAAAACAACGTTTGTTTCTACCTGCATATTTTAGAATTGCGTGATAAAAGTTCGGCGACCGGCGCCCAAAGTTCCGGTTCGTAATCCCAGCACTTCCTTGAGCAATCCCCGCCAGACGGACGAGGCGATGGCCAAGGAGAAGGAGCAACCAGATGCCGAGGAGGATGATGAGGAATCCATTTACCAACCCATTTGGCAGTTCAAGACCCTGGAACCCGCCGATCAGGTGGTCATCGAAGGTGCTCTTCCAGCACAGGACGAAGATGATGAGGAGGAGGAGGATGAAGATGAGGAGGACGACGACGAGGAGGAGGAGGAGGATCTGGACGACTACGGCGAGTCGCTGCCCTCGGATCCCGATGCCGATGTGCTGGCCCTCCAGGCGGCGGCCGTCTTTGCCGCCGGAGTCCGGCACAAGCTATCCACCTCGACGCTGACCAAGCGCTCCAAGCTGATGCTGCCCACGCCCCTGCCCTCGCCCACCGCCTCCATGGACCAGGGGGCCTGGGAGACGGACATGGAGTTCATGTACTCGCGGGAGAACAAGGATGCCGATGAAACACTCAGCTTGGGCAGCACGGTGACGAATAGCACGGCTACGATGGGTTCCATCAGTAGCAACGGCAGCAGCAACGCCAGGCTGCTGCCACCAAAGGATCAGGATCTGATAGTCAGTTCCCAGCCAGCGGCGGAAATTGTGCCCCTCGTGCATCCGATCCTCAGGAACATCTGCATCTTCTACAGCCAAACGGAGCCCAAGAAGTACAGCGCTATATTCTACGACTACCATCGATCGCATGTCCATCAGCGTTTCATGACCCGCATTCGTCGACCGGCGCCACCGCCACCCGTCTCACAGGTGACCCCGATGACCCCGTTGGTGACCCCAACCCGCAACGATGACAGTGGCTGCAGTTGCGAGGCGGAGGATCAGGATCAGGATCTTCAACTCCGCCCCCGATCTATGGCCATCCCGCAACCGCTCAAGGAGGAGTGGGAGCGGGCCGTGCTGGCCGCGGGGGCGGTGGGCGGCAAGAGGGGCGTGGCTCCGCGGGCGGGACGCAAACTGAGGGTCCGCTCCAATGCGAGGCTGCTGCTCACGGATTCGGTGCTGGCGTGGCGGGAAACGCTGCAGGATTTCAACTGCTGCGAGGACGAAGAGGACATGGTGAGTGGTGGAAAAATCTTAGAAAAATCTTTAAAAAAATCTCCATTACTCTAAATTTCTAAAATGCATGATGAATATTTTTTGAGTGTACCTATTTAAATAAGACTAAGTTAAAGACAACCTTATTATATAGTCGTAAAAGTATAATCTTATTTTAAATAATATTTATACCACACTGTAGACTGTAGAGTTTCCGGAATTTCTTTAATCTTGGCTTTTGATTTAAAAATAATCTAAAAATAGTTCTTTCGTCACCGGCTTAAAGTCGTGACTTTCATTAAGTTGATTTGATTTTAAAGACGGAACTATTTGCTCTTAATCTGTACTGAAATATTTAAGTAAGCCCCCAGATTATTTCTCCAAGTGTACTCTTGTCACTCGCAATTTGCCATGTACGTTCTCCCTGCTTCTTTATATGCCCATTGTTTCCCCCACTTGTCACTTGTCACATCAATTAAACTCGGCAATTGTATCTGTATCTGTACGTTGGTATCTTAGCACTCGGATCCCTTTCTCCCTTTGGGCACAACAACGGTTCAAGCGATTGTTTTAGCTGATCTATGGTCTGCGAACCGCTGAGGGCCTTTGAAAAAAAAGAAATAGTTGCACAACCTTCCGTTTGGGGGAGCAGAAACTAAAAGTTTTGCGCAAAATACCCTAATCACACTTGGGAGGCCTCGATTGATGCAAGTTTCTGGAAAATATATGTGTGTTATACAATAGGGCAATTTAATTAGCATGCATTGCCATTACTTTGTTGACTTAATTATCGATGAGAATAAACATTATAATCTATATTATATTTATCTGTATGCAGATTACTTATATTACAAAAACATGGGGTATACCTAGTTTTGAAAGGATATATTTTTGGGTCTATTGAAAGTATATTTTGTATAACTTTATAATAAAAATATAAGAGGTATTCCTAGTTCTCGAGGGATTTTTTTTATATTTATCCAGGGCATTTTTGGGTCTATCGAAAATGTATCTCTTAGCTTGCCATACTTGGCTTTTGATTGCACTTTGTTTATAACGCATATGTACGTGCATCTGAATGTGCAGAAATTTACAAACATACATATGTACATTTACGTACGTGTGCCGCTTTGTGCATAATGTATTTTTATTTATTTGCCTCTCACGTTTGTTGTTTTCTGCTTGCTGCATGTGAAATTCCATAGAAATTCACAGGGAGAGTTCAACCTCCCCCTTCAATCTCGACCCCCTTTTTCGATGTCCCGCCCCTGCTTTTTCGTGGGCCCCACCAACATGTTGATTCACATTTCGCGAACGACAATTATTTATTTATTTTGTTTTATTTATTTTCCTCTTTTTTTTGCTTGCATATATTCTGCCGTAATATACTCGTATCGGTATGTGTGTGTGTTTGCGTCTAAAGTTAATTTTTTGGATTTTTGTTATAAACTTTGGCAAACCGGTTCTTCGCTTGAGGGGCGCATTTAGTCTATACTCTTTTTGAGGGTATACTATTTTGGAGATTTCCAGTAAATTAATTTGGTTTTTTAAGGCAGAGGAATAAAGGATTTATTAAAAAAAAGGAACTATATTGTAATTTTAATTTGCTTTAAAATCCGAATTATTTATACATTTATTTTATAAAATAATATTTATATTTAAATTTTATTTTGTTATAAAACCCGATTTAATCACATATTTTTGAGGGAGATGAATTGAGGAATTAAAAAGTATTAATAATAATTTCATTTAAATGAATATACCATATCCATTTTTATGAGGCATTTTAAAGTCGAATTTCTGTGGTTTTGGTTTATTTGCCTTTTCTTATGTGTAATTTCCTGCCTTGGAGCTTCGTTCATCGCATTTATCAGCATTTAATTGGTTAATCATTAGTCAAATATTTTTGTAACTCTTCGCCGTTCTGTTACCGCCTTGAATTTTACTCTTGTCTCCTTCTCGGAAACAGAATCTTTGGCTTACCAAGTTTTATCGCTTGGATTGTAAAAATCATAACGGAACTTGAGTGTTCCATAAATAAGTCGGGACTTGGCGATATGTGAGGGGATATGTTTATTTTCGTGCATATTCAAGAGATTAAGCTCGAATCGTTTCTTTTTCTTTTTTGCATTTTAATGGTGTTTAAAAGATTTTTGATATCTCAAGAGAATTCTCTATTGTTTCAAGTGGCTTTATAGGCTGTGTCAAAACTCAAGTGGCCAAGTAAATCTATTTAGTTTGTCAACACTCTGGATAGGCTCACTTGTGCAACAAGATCTTGAAAGGCGACTTGACATGAACCGCAAAGCTACGATTTCAATAAGTGGATTGCCCACGCAATCGAAGATTTTGAAGTTTTGGTCTTTTTTTTTTGGAAAGGAGGGGCTTCAAGGCAGCAGCAGTTCCTCTTCCACAAAAAATACAAATAAAAATAAATATAAAAAACCACAACCATAACAAAAAGGTCAACTGAGCGCCTGAGCCGCCTTTGTTTGGCTTTCGGATCATTTGTTTATTTTCCGCGGTTCGTTTCGGTTTTTTCGACTTTTTCGGTTTGCCATGGCTTTTTTACAGTGAATCATGTGGCGAATGGGGCGATACATATGTATTTAGATATAGATACAGTATCTGCGGGCGCGCGAATAAAGCAAACTAAGGCAAAAAAATAAAATAAAGCAAAGTAAACACATGTACTAGTACTATTCGAGGTCGTATCAATTAAATCGCTTCGGCTGCCTTTTTTTTTGGGGCTTTATTGTTACTATTTGGGCGCACATAAATTTCATTCCCAAATGTTTCGTGTAAAACTACGCAATATTTGCGCTTTTGTTTACGCTCTCGCCAAAAACGAAAAGCGAAAAACAAAAACTAAATACTCGAAAAATACTCGCGCACAAAAACCGAAAAACAGAAAGCAAATTAGCCAAAACAAATTGAGTCTAATCAGTTCGAACGCCGTGGCTGGACTCCAAATTACCGGAATTATCAAGTGCTAATTGGGGTTGAACTACAAAATATTCGATATTCATCGGCCTGCCGATCGATCGAATTCGCTCGAAAGACATTTGTTCTGTGTTCTGCGGGCTTCTGTTTGCTTTTGTTTATTTAACTTTGCTTTTGTTGATATTATTGCAAACAGACTTTCCCTCATTTTCAACTGCAATCCAATTTGGCCGAAACAAAGGCTATCAATATAAACATCTTTAATTGGGCAGAATCAATGTATTATAATCATATATTAGTTTGAATATCTTATGGCAATGAATCGGGGTCATCAAATTTTTATGATATAATAATAATATGATATAATAACAAATGGGATTGATGATATAATATGAAACTTAAGTTTTTCTGAATTTCTTGGAATAAGTTAAACATTTGCTTTGCCAAGGGACTTTTTTTATTGCATCTACAGACCTTGTTTGAAAGGCAAACAAATGTGGCAAGCCATACGCAATTCAGGGGAACTCCAGGTGTACTTTTTGAGGATTTCTGTATATAATATTTAAACAGTAGAGCTTTCATATGAAATAATTTATTTTAATGATTTTGAGGGTGAATATATTTTATTAGAGTTTACGAAATATAAATAGAACCTTTATAAGGCATTTCTTATATTCAAGATTTTACATTATTTTATTAATAGTTAGGGGAGTTTTCCCGTAAGAAATATATACCATATGGGGTATAGAATATCCCGCTTGTAACGAACAAATGTTTTTTTTTTATATGTCGCCGATAACCTGAGGATTTTGTTTATGCTGTTGTAAACAGAGTTGGGTGGTCGAAAAGGGGGGTTTCGGGGGCGGTAGGTGGGTGGCAGCTGGTGGGCGGTGGGCGTGACGGAGGCGATAAATGCATCGGTAGCGACACCTTGGACCGACACTGTTCGATTAACCGTTATCTCGGACGCTTGCATTTATTTTCCGTACCGTTGCGCGATTTCTTACAAATCGAAATCAATTTCTTATCAGAATTGTTTTTTCTGTTTCTGTTTCGGTGTTTGTGTACGGCTCTCTCTCTGTGCTCCGTTCCGTTCTGGCCAAAAAGAGATAGCGTGCATATATATATATATATATAGTGGGGGAGTGAGAGTGAGAGAGAAAGAACCTAGCGATAAGACATGGCAGGCAGATTCAATCCCAAGCGAAGGCAAACAACGGTGAGCGATGGGTGGAACCACCGACACCGACACCAAAACCGAAAAGAAACCCCACCAAGGAAAGAACTTACCCCTGGAAGTAATTGGGGTTACGACTATCAAATACCCCGCATACCATTACGATCTTAAATGGTTATGAAGTTTGAAATCTATTTGCATTTTTAGAGAACCTCTTTAGTAATACTTTTAATAGAACTTTTCCACAAATAATAACTATTATTATTACTTTATAAAATTTCTTTATTCTGGAACATCAAACCCTTAGACTGGTCTAACAATGGGTAAATTAAAAGTAAAGAAAACACACACAAAATACAAAAAAAAAATATACATCGACAACGGCACGAAAAGCTGCAATTAATTTGCAGACGTTACTTGGATTGTCGGATTGTGTATCTGTATCTGTATCTCAATTGTACGCTCCCAGAGCTTTTACTCCACCTTCCCCTTTTCCCCCGCCTCTACCTTGTTGCCAACTATTCCGAACTTGAATATTTATGCGCTGCGTGACTCTGACTAAATCTAAATCTCCCCGCGGGGCTCGTCTTCCATCTTCCATCTTCCAGATTGTGCCAGTGACTGACATTCTGCGGGCGCAGCAGATCCAGGAGGACAATGAGGTGCAGCAGACGCAGCAGACCACGATTCTCCAGCGCTTCAAGAGCGTCTCCATCGGGAACCTGCTGGATCTGCCGGGCGAGGATGACAAGAAGTCCATCAAGAATCGCATGCGAATGAAGTGTAAGTATTGCTAAGGGGAGATCGATGGATTTTCATTTTCATTTTACATAATGTTTTGTACTATTTAAGTCAACTACAAATATAAGACAAAAAATATTTACAAAAGCCAATCATTCATTCATTTGGAATTACTTTAAACACGTACTTGGCATTTGTTAGGACCGAGTGAGGCACCACTTTTTTTTGTTGGGTTGTCTGGAAATAATATTGTTAGAGAAACCCAGCTCTCAGTTTAAATATTAGTTTCAAGTAATCCGCCAGATCGCTGTGATAAACAAGAGTATTAAAATATAATATTTGAGATACTTATATTACGCGATCTGGAATTGCATTTAAGTCCGCTTGAAAGTGTCTCGAACTTCTTGTCGATGACCATCGATGACTTTCCATCGAGCGAATTTCCGACTAACCGGTTAAAAGAGGGCGCCCGACTGTCTGTGCAGAAACTGCTGCTCTTGGAGCTTCGATTCCGAGTAGAAACCACCAACGCCAATGGGAAAACCATGCACTCAAAAAAATTAAACTCATTTCTACATCTTCATATATTAAAAAAAAAATTTAAATGATATTTATGTAATTTGTTTGTCATATGAATAGTGATCCATAACATTTTTTTATAAATGTAGGATTAATTAATTTGAGTAGTATTTTAGATATTTTTAAGCGATTTCTACAATTATATTCTTAAATATTAGATTACAAACTTTTAATTTAGATCAAAAAACGTTATTAATAGTTATAAATATTAGGAGATTACCTTAGGCTTTTTTTAGATTTCAGTTAGGCTTTTTAGTTAGTTTTTTTTCGAGTGCACTACCGTCTTTTGAGGCTCGGCTCATTGCAAGTTGGCCTTTTAAGGTCGTTGCGGCCCACACAGCAACTGGTCGAGTGACTGGGGACTTCTATCTACGGACTCCTATCCACATGAATGGGCAGTGCGAAGACGAATGCCGGAGACCCTCTCTCTGGGATTTTCGTTAATGAAAGCCAAGTTTCACTTTTGCCGGACGCGGGGAATTCGTATACATAGCTTTATTCGGATAATGCAAATGAGTCGCCGGTGAATCACAATCTGCGTAAGGCGAGGGTTTGACTAATTATTTGACTGCATGACTGACCGACTGATTGAATGACTGACTGAGTGACTGAGTGAGGCTGTGATTTGTGATTTCTGTTTTCTGTTTTCTGGCTTAGCGTAGGCATAAAAATTCATACGCAATTCGCGGTTGGCTCCTCAGTCAGTCGGGAGTGGCACAAGTCCCGATCGCTTCCCAATGGAGATGTCGAAAAATTTGAATTCTCTCCTCTTGGATAGGTGTTTGTCTCCATGTAGCTTCACTTTTCACTTGCAAATGGAGCAATAATTTTTAATAATTTCTTTTTTCATGTTTTGGACACTTGGATGACCAGTCGCCGTTAATAGCAATGTGTTTCGCATGTAAGTGTTGCCAATAATAATATTATATTATATAATACTAATAAATCTCTTTGCCCGCAGCAACCGTTCGCCAAAGAGCGAGAAGAAGTCGCGTCCACGTCGTGGCCAGGTGAACAGCCTGTATCTCGACGAGCAGAAGTATCCACTCTTTGCGGCGCCCCTCAACAGCCTGGAGCTCAACATGACCGACCATCCGAATGTCCCCAGATTCGTGGTCGACATTTGTGCCTACATCGAGCAGCCGGAGTGCATCGAACAGGATGGTCTGTACCGGGCATCCGGCAATAAGGTCCTGGTCGACGAGCTGCGCAAGAAGCTGACCCACCTGTACGATCCCCGCTGGCTGCACACGGACGACATCCACACGCTGACCAGCCTGCACAAGCAGTTCTTCCGCGAGCTCTCCGCTCCGCTGATCACCCAGGAGGCCTACGAGCGCCTGGGCCGCAGCCTCAACGACGACGCGGCCATCGAGCGGATGAGCCTGGCCTTTGACGACATGCCCGAGCCGAATCGCTCCACACTGCGCTTCCTCATCAAGCACTTGACCAGGTGGGTAGCTTAAGTTGAAGGTTCTGTGAAAGTACACCGAGGGAAAAAAAGTTCCAATGATTCGATGAAGATTTGTCATATTCACAATTTAAGAACTGTGATTCCATTGTGATCGCTACTCTTTTTATGAATAACTTAAAATGTCATAATACAGCGAGGAAAAAAAAGTTCCAATGATTCGATGTAGATTAGTCAAACTACTCAATTTAAGAACTGTCTTTGCAAAGTGACTCCAATAATCGCTATTCCTTTTATGAATAATTTGTATATACAATGTACATTAATAATATTTTTTTTTCACAATACTTCGACAGAAAAAAAGTTCCAATGATTTGATAAAGATTTTCCACATTCATAGCTTAAAAACTAAGATTCTATAGTGACTCTATATATGACTATTTTATAAACATAAAACTAATAGCTGTCATGAATAATACGGTTTTCCCCGGGGTTTATTCATATACATATAATTATAATACGTGCTCATAAATAATATTTATATATTTTTTTTCAGAGTGGCCGCTGCCAGCGCTTCGAATCGCATGCCGTCCACCAATCTGGCCATCGTTTGGGGTCCCTGTCTGCTCAGCGCCAATCAGATCCAGCTGGACATTGGACGCATGAACATGCTGGCCAAGGTGCTGATCGAGAACTACGATCGCATCTTTCACCCGGACAACGAGCGTCTCGTTTGCTAGACCGTCGCCGGCATTCCCGCCCCGCCCCTCCGCTGCCACGCCCACATCTCCACACATCACATCGCCTGCAGAACCAGCAGCATCGATATATAAGTGCCTCAGACATCAACAAAACATCACCCCTTCTCACCCTATGATAATACGTTTTTTTTAAAATGTTTTTTTTGTCAGCTTTAATTCTATGTTTTCCTTCGGTAATTTTAATATTTTAATTACTTTATTTATTCATTGGAAGTGGGAACTCGGCTAGTCGGGCCCATCAAGAAAATACTTACCAAAAAGACAGTAGACTAAGTTGTAACAAGAACCGCAAGAAAATAATCTAGAAACTACGAACTTTGTGGCGGTACAGTGAGCACTGCCTGCGGCCAACCCAATAACATGACGGAATATTATTATTTTTTTTTTTGTTTGTGACATCATACATGAGATGTGATATTCGCTGCAAATTGCAAAGCGTGAATATAATTTGTATTTATATAATATATATTAATTAATAAACCATATGACATATACGAATAAAGTCCAGTACAGTAGATAGGCTACTCATATTTTTTTGTTTAATGATGCTTGGAGTATGAAAGCCAAATAATTGTATACTTTCTATCTCAATAAATACGAAGAAAATTAAGTAATTGTCTGTTAAAATGTAAATGTAATGTTGGGGGCTGTTGGGAAAATACTAGTTAAAACTAATTATCTAATTATTTTAATTATTTTTTGAATAATTGATTTTATACCTTATCTTGTCTGCTTTCGGGCTGAGTTCAAATGGGAGGGCTAAAATCTATATAAGACCGATGATTAAGTGGTCAGCGTTAGTCCGAAATTAGTTTTTCGCCATGAAGGTTGCCCAAAGCTTCGTTCTACTATGGATTTGCCTGATAGCTACGGTGAGTTCTTAATGAATATTTTCATTTTATTATATTTTAATGATTCCATCCATATTTTAGTGCGAGTTGCCTGGCTGCCTTGCCCAAGACTCTTGCATGACGAAGAACAATGTGACCAGCGCCGAACTGGAGGCCATTTCACCATCCACTCCCATTTCTGATGTTTCCTTGGCTGTCAAATGCTACAGCAGGTGTGTGCTCGATGAGTACATCGGCGATGATGGGAGGATCGATCTGGAGAAGGTGGGAAGTCGAGGAAACAAACAGGAGCATATTATTCTCGCCCAGTGTAAGCAGCGATACGATGACGTCACCGATCGGCTCGGATGCGACTATTCATTTCTGATGCTCCGGTGTTTGTTTAAGAGCCCAACGAGCGAAACTCGACCAATTAACCTTATATAAATACGTATATGAAAAACGCGAAGGTTACAATATACTATATATATTCCATATACATCATTCGCTGATAACAACTTAATTCGTTGAAATTATTAATCACATTAGAGGCTTATTGATATTGTTAAAAATACAATAATAGTATACAATACTTTTCGGTTATGGTATAAGAATACAATTCGCATTCGGAATATAATCGTTTATTTTATTGTAACAAATAGAAAACTACTGAAATAAAATTGTGTATCTGGCTTGTAGGGTTGTAAATTAAATAAAGTTCAGATTAATCAACTACAGTGGTTACTATAGTTTTTGGAAATTCATATTTGGATCAATATTTTCATTGTTACGGTCAAAAAACTAATTATTTTTTTGTGAAAAATAAAATAATCGATTATTTTATTGTAACTTAAGTAAGACTAGTAGAAATAAAACAGAATCATGAGTAATCAGATTCTTGATTGTCCGAGTTGGCTGCAAATAAATTACAGAAAATTTAGCTTTGCATGTCAAATAAATATGAAATGTATATGGAGGCCAGACATAAAATTCGACCCACTCTCCACGCCAATTTGAATAATATTTCGGCATGGCAGATATATAGATATAGAAGATGCAATTTGAACATAATTGAAATGCAAATCGCAGACTGTTGACTGCAGAAACTGGGGAGCTGCAAAGGCGAACGAACCAAACGAAACCAACTTGATGGAGCGGATGTGTGGAAGCAATAATGAATCCCAGTCGAGCCCACAGGATGCAGAGCAAATTTCAATTTTCCCAGCAAATCATACGTAAAGTTTTGCCAAATACATTTGGGCCGGGCCAAAAGGGGCCAGAAAAGGGCCAGAAGGATGTCAATGCAATCAGTGAGGCATTTGACTTGGCCTTTCATCAACTCGAACTCGAACTCGAACTCGACTCAACGCAGTCGAGTGCAAAGGACACACAGCACACAGGATACAGGACACGAGTTCCTTGGGCGACACTGCGGCTGCCACAAAACTTTTTGCTGGCCAATCACCAAGAAAGCCGCCGAGTTACTGGTTACTGGTTACTAGCAATAATACTGTATAAAGCCGAAATTAGGAATTATTTTGACCAGCCGGAAAAAGGGGGCGTTGCGCAAAAGGCAAAGTGCTGAAGTGCTGAAGTCAGTGGAAAATTTGTGGGCAAAACATGTTGATGACAGGCAAATATGCTGTAATGCAATTATGGGCGCCACTGCTACCAGGATAGCGATTTAATTGACAATGCAAATTGAATCAGCATTTGTGACTGTCTAATCGAATTAGCCCGGGAAAGCCGCCTCCTCCTCGTTCATAATTCAATTTCTGACTCGCACATATACTTACTATATCTATGCCCCGAAAAAAGGGATTTTGGGTTACCGGCTAAGGGTTTTGGCCACTGGTCTCGGCTTTTTTGGCCCGCCTCAGCAAATAAACTTTGCGTTCTCATTGCGACAGTCGACTGCAGTTTTCGTCCTGACCACACAACCAAAATTTCAGGTCCTGAGTGGACCTAACCACTGGAACGTGCCTTAACTTATAAAATGTTGCCGACTGCTGCCAATTGCAGTCCGTCTAAATGGCTCACATCCCTTGGCCGGGTCGAAAGGCGAAGCTGCAATGCTCTCGAGAAATTCACAAGGAGTCGACCGATCTCGAAATGCCCGGGCTGAAATCAAAGAACTTACAAGGAGGCAGGGAATACTAAATGAATTCAGCATTATCTAATATTTTAATTTATTACCTAACTATTTATATTACTTTTGCAATTATTAAATATTTTAGATATTTATTTTGATGTTATATGTCATAAACTGAAAGACAATAATATAGCAAATTTTAGTTCTAAGATTTAAGCAAGTGTATTGAAAGGACATCTCATCTCGACGCTTCGACCAAAGTGGTTTTCCTATAGAGCCACTTGAATGAGGCCCGCCACCTGTTGGCGAATTAGGGCGCAACACTCGAGAGGAGTCGCCTCCTCCGCAGCTCTTCTCCGAATCCCTCGCCTGACAATCCCGACATTAAGACGCTGGCAATGTGTAATAACTGGCAGCTTGAGATGAAGGACAAGAGCTAGCTTAGTTGGGGATTGGTGAGCGGGAAAGGGGAAGGGGGCGGAACCGATGAGGATGATGAGGAGGCGGTGGCCAAGAGCTGGAATGACAGGACGCTGAGCTGGCAGAGAGCAGCGGCAGCGGCAGCATCATCATCATCAGAGGCTAAGGATGTGACAATGCTGAGCCCGTTTGACATGAGCATGATATAATAAAAACCGCAAACAAGTAATGCCTATGGAACCGCAGTCCTCTAACCGAACGACTGGCTGCCAAGGTCCTGCGGATCTAGAATCCAGGGTCCAAGTCGTCGAGATAACAACAGCAGGCCGAGGGGATGACTACTCAAGTGCTGTTGTCCTTCATGTCCTTCGGCTATCCTGCCCCCACATCCTGCACCTTGAAAAAATAATTTGAGAGAGTGTTGGAGTTCATTATAAATTATTAAAAACCAGGAAAAAAATAGTTCAGTCTTAAAAGTGAAAAAATATATTTAGGGATATTTTTATTTTATTTTTTATGGCTTAGTATTTATCTTGAAAATATTTCTGAATTTCGGTTTTTGATTTTAGATTTTTATATCGCACCGCATCCGTTTAATAGAGAACGCACGGAAAATTTAGCTGGCAATTCTATAGTATTATTTGTTTTTTTTTTTTGCTCAGTGTGAAATGGGGCCAGTGGGCATGCCGTTATCCTTTGGCGTGATTAAGCCACAAGTGCGTGACATTTTAATGCGACATTTATGCCCGGGACAAGAGATTATTATTGGAAATGCGCGCTTGGCTCGCGTGACAACAATAGCAGCGCGGCATAAATATAAACCGCAGGAGCAGGAGCAGGAGCAGGAACAGGAGCTGCAAGGATAACAGCACAACTTGCTTAACGCCCTGGCCCACAGCTTATTTATTTATCTTACCCCGAGTGACACCCGAGTGACAACTTTTGTTCCCTCGTCCTTCGACTTTCGTCTAAGAACCGAGGAGGGACAACTATGTCTATGTCCTGTCACAGTCTTCAGACATTTCTGAGCCACCTCCCGAGAATGTGGCTGAAATCCTGGCAACATATTTAATTAAAAGCCAAGGCAACCGGCTGACAAATGACAGAGGGATCAGCCGAAAGATGACTCACTGAGGAGGATCTGCTGGCCCTGGAAAAACGATGCTTAAACAACAGCAAATGTGGCTTGTATACTTGAAATAGAGCTTTTTATTTGCCTCTGTACTTCGAGTATAATGAGTAGAATGTAATGGATACCTGGCCAAAGGATATTGCTCATGGATAAGTACTAGCTCACTCCTAATTAATGTCCAACGATGTGGAGAGCCGCATAAATACCATGGAATCAATACCCGAAATGAACTTTTAATACAAATAAGTAATCGATACCCCCAGTGCATCTGGCATATCCCTGCTTTAAGCTGTTGACCGAGTCCTTTTAGCCGTTGAACAAACATCGAACGGGGAATCCGGTAATCGATCTGTTTGAGTACTTGTTATCGATAATGACGATAATAATATCCCTGGCTGTAGTGTGGGTGAACCTAATGGCTGCTGTTCGCATTTAAAGAGATACACCGAAAAAAATGACCATAGCAACTAAACTATTCGTACATTAATTTGAAACTATGCTTTCGAAAAAGCTAAAATTAAATTTTCGGCTTAGAATATTTAGTAAAAAATTTATATTTATTAGTATTATTTTAATACTATACTTTATTACTGGACCTAGTATATTTCCAATACAACGAATTTAGGAACTAAACTATAATTTTTTTTGGGTGTAATAATAAAAATATGGCACTTAATATGCCCCAAAGATTTTCAAACCTTTGTATACCTGTGATCCCTAACTTCCTCTATTTGTACTGAATATTATTTAATTAGTTTGGGGTTTCTTTTTGTGAACATTCCAGATACCCAACCATTTTTCCCTGCTGATTTCTGGCTTTGGCAAATGTTTGCACATCCAGTGCCACCTTTTTGTAGCCGCCTGCAGCTGCTGAAATTAAAATCGAAATCATAACATGTCAACACATTTTGTAATGCAGCAGAACTAACCAAAAATAATAAAAGTCTGGTCCAAAAAAAGGGGCAAAAGGGGACAAAAAGGGGCTAAAAAGGGGAAAAAGGGTTGCCGAGCAAACAGGGAAATAATGCAAATGCAAATGAATCCGCGACAGCGGGATGTCGGTGGTGGCTGGAACAGGTGTTCCACTTGCTTCTTTATGCCAATAAAAACGCTTTCCATATGTGTGGGTGTGTGTGTGAGTGTATGAGTGTGTGTATGTGAGACCGGTATAAAAATGTAATAACAAAGTTGGCGGCGCTGCTTTTTATGGCCTTTTTGTCATTGCGTTTTGTGTTTGTGTGCAGTAAAAACTATTTACCCAACCTCCAGCCCCTCTCCACCATTTCTTAAACCCCTCCTCCGCCGCCCCTGACTTTTGTGTTTACCAGCAAAATGCCAATGGACACAATGTTCCCACGAAAGGGTGGGTCGAAATTCATATAATGGATATATTGTGAATAATAGATTTTCATCCTTGGAAAATATTATTGCATACTTTTTGACACTTCTTTTATATTTATTTTAATTTTTCTATATTTAATATATATTTTTCACAGAGTTATCCAAGTTATCCCTCAAAATCGAGCCACCCTAATCCAGAATGTGTGTGTTTGGGGTGGACCGTTGTCATATCAGTGTGCTAAAAGTAACCGCACGACGCTGAAAAGTATGCAATACCATTGGCTCTCCCCCCCACAGCGAAGGACTTCAGCTGCAGGACGACGACCAGTTCCAGGATCTGGGATACAGTTCGCAGGCCCCAATCCCAAGTTACCCAGCTACCGGATCCGTGGGTCGCAGTTCCCAGTTCCCCTGTTCTCCTGTTCCCAGTTCCATGTGCATTGGCATTGCCGGCGCCCGTCAGCGTTTTCATTTCAAATTCAAATGCTGTTTGCATAAAAAACGAGCCAAGACATCGAAAGGCATCACGTGCCCAGGACTCCTCCTCCTTCTCCTCACCCAACAATTCCTGTGGAATGTGGGGCCAAAAAACTGCTGGAATTCAGGAGGAAATGGAGGGGGAAAGTAGTGACAATAGCAACAAACGGATGGCTGCAGAGATGTATGAACGAACAGTGGGTGCACATGGAAAAAAATTACCATAATATCAAGTTACGTAACATAACATGCTGAAAATTCAAAAAAAAATAGGCGGGTTCTTGGGTAATGAGAAATCCGAAAAAAAGTATACCTAACTTATTTGTAAGAATTTATATTACGTATACGTAATAAATAGACAAAAAAAAAACATTTTTATAAAACAATTTAAAATAAATACTTCATTAAAATCAGCAAATATCTTGTTCAATTATTTAAGTATCTTTGAACAGAGAATTAAAATGTTAGTGTGGTGGAGTTTTTTGTACCAAGTTGAGTGGGTTAAGTGGGTGGATTGCAGAAGTAGTGTCGTTGGCCTCCATTTCCCGCCCAAAAAAATCGAAGCGAAAGACGGTCCAGCATTCGGCGAGGGAGCGAGATGGGTAGAGGGGGTCAGAGAGGGACAGAGAGGGACATAGCCAGCTGGCAGTCGTTTTGCATGTCCGTGTTGGGTTAAGTGGATTGTTTACTTTGATTACAAAAATATGGCAAATGTTTGCACGTTTGATGTCTCACTACGTCTGTGTGTGTGTGTGTGTGTGGTGCAGACAGATGCAGTGGTGATGAAGAGGCATCGATCGTGATTTGAATTTTCTCAATACAATTCTTATGAATTTTTCCATAGTTTTAGGGTATTGTATTCTTTTGCGTCTCCGAGGCTGCTGCATCGTTTACAATCAAATAATAGTTTGTGCGCCGAAAAGTATGCAAGCTTTTTACAAACGGTTTCAAATTTCTAACAAAAATCTAACCAGTTCATATTTAATTTAATAAAGTTTTCTTCTGAAATTGTTCTATCTCACGCGGTCATCTCTATTGCAAACAATGCTACTCAAGCACACACTCATATTTACATACAAAAAAAGAAGAAAGAGATGGACGAGTGAGAGAGAGAGAGAGGGAGGGAGAGGTACAGTCAGACAGCGAGACAAATGGCGTTTGCCTTGGCGCGCTTGTAAAATCCAAAAGCTAACATTATTACAAAAAATCTGCAGTTATACATTTGACTTTGGTTTATTTTTATTCCTTTTTTTTTTGTTTTATGATTTGCACACAGTTTGCAGTTGACCGACCGACCATCGCCGGACCTTCTGGTTGGCTGAATTTTTATTGTATTGAGGCTGCTGCTGAAAACCAGATGGAAAGGAACTGTTGATTGTGAGCCCAGTGTCGTCTGTGAAAAGGATTGAAAGCAGAGGAAATTGAAGGGATCGAGCTGCCATTGTTTTATTAATTGAACTCCAGCCGAAGGGCGATGGCAAAATAGTCCAGAAATCTTTAAGAGTTTATTATTTTGAGCTTACTCCAAAGTACACCCAAAAAAGACTTGATATGAAACGATGATCAATTTGATATTGTGCCATTTATCGTCTTTCTCTCTCCGAGAGAGAGACCTTGGTAAAATTATAATATTTAACATAAATTTTACCAGTAATGCATGGTTAAAACGATATGATTTACCATGCGCATATCGATTAAATCCTTGAGAAGGCAGTTTTAGGAAAAAGCAACCCCCCTGACCCCTGCCCATGGTCAGTGGCACCATGTGGGTCACGTCATCGAAAGGTCAAAGGCATTTATCAGCCCCATTTTTGCACCCAACTAGTATTTGCATTTCATGTTGAACTGTTTGCCCTGGCCGAAAACTAATTTTGACAGGCGAAGTACAAAAACGAAGGGGGCGGAAAAAAGAAGAAAAACGGCGCGAGAAAAGCCGCCGCTTTTATTGGAAAAATGTATATTTGTTTTAGGCGCTGGGAAATCGCAGCGGGGTCACACGCCGCCCACAATGCCAAATAGTTTTCATTCTTAGCCGCTCTTCTCTCCGCCGCCGCCGCCTCCGCTAACTGCATTTTATTTTATTAATGCGAATTTGTTTGGCAGCGGAGTTGGACTGGTGGATTGGTGGACTGGTGGGGTCCAGGATGCGACCAGGATGCCGCCTCGTCGCTATTATGGCAGCCATTTGTTTGCACGCGAGCATCCGAGTGCCCCTCCCTCCCATCTCTCCGCCGCCCCACAGGGCGTATGCGCTATTTTATTTTATTTCATTTTATTTTTCTCGCGCTGCTGGCGGTCTTTTCTACCGTGCCACGCCCACCCGCCCCTCAACGACCACATGTCGCTCATGATTAATTGAAAGATTCTCTCAACTTCAACTGTTTTCGGGTTTTGCGTTTGCCCAAACTCCCTTTTTTTTATTATTCCTATATTTTCTTTTTCTATTTTCATTTTTCCCAGCTTGTTGCTCTGTGTGTGTGTGTGTGTTTGTCCAAAGTGTTTTGATTAATGAACTATGCTGAGCGAAATTTAAATAAATTTCTTGGGATATCCATTGCCACTTTCCGTCGGGATGGTAAACAATTAGCTGGAGGAACTGACTAACTTTCTTTAAAGTTTTTAATGATTTAGGGGGTTATATTTGTTGCTTTCATTAAAGCTGGAATATTTGTTTTAAGGAAAATCATTTTATTTCACGATAATGTGGAACTATATTATTTTAATAAATATTATTAATTTATTAAGTGACTGTTTTGTGTTATTTTATTATAATATGTATTATTTATTTGATAAGAGACTGTGAAAATATGAATCAATTTATATATGAATTGTGTGGTTTCTTTGATATCTTTAGGTAAACCAAATAATAACTAATACTAAATAATAATAGTTTTAAAAGTGATCTAAAAAAACCATATTGATAAGATGATGGGACCAAGTAAATATTTTCTGGTGCATTCGCGCTCTCTCTTTCTTTCTTCTGGATAACTACGTGTGTCTCTCTTTTACGACTATCTAACTTCTGGCTATTAGACTAATGGTGCATACTCGCTCTTCCTTGTATCAGTTTTCCTTGTCTTATCTTTCGGCGATAAGGCTCTATGCCTCTGGGCGCTTCCGATTCCGATTCAGCGACTTAGCAAGTCAGTTTTCAAATGGCCGGCGAGTATATCACACTGGAGAGTCCGTCAGTTTACCCGGCGGGCGGGAAACTCCGTCCGGCTCGGCGACTTTCCACCAATCACCTGGTTCTGCTGACCCTCCTGGTGGGCAGTTCGCTAATCATCACCTACGCCTACTGGGATGTGATGATGCTGACCGCCGGCGCTTTGCCCTTGGCCAGAATCGATCCCACTGGACTGTCCAACGAAACGCTGGCCGAGAAGCTCTACCGGGAGGTGAGGATCCTGTGCTGGGTGCTCACCACACCTAAGTATCACAAATCGAGGGCCGTCCACGTGCTGCGCACCTGGGGCAAGCGCTGCAACAAGATCTACTTCATGACCTCGGAGCCGGATGACGAGCTGCCCACCGTGGTGCTGACCAAGCCGGACCGCTACGAGGTCCTCTGGGGCAAGACCAAGGAGGCCTTCACCCACATCCACGAAAATATGCGCGACGAGGCCGATTGGTTCATCAAGGCGGATGATGACACGTATGTCGAATTAGGCCCATTATTTCGGATTATTATTATGGCCACATGACACTGACTAGATTAGTTTGAAAAAGCCTTGGCAACCTAGTTTTAAAAGGGGTCCATAATTTATTTTATTTATGAAAATTAACTAGTACTTATTTACTAACATTTTTTATTTATAGAAATTTTTTTTACTTATGTTTAAATATTACTATTTGTTTGTGTATGTCTTAAAAAGACTATTTTTAATATAGCATTATTTTAAACTTTTTTAAAGTTTGGTTTTAAGTGGATTTATTTACATATTAAATTAAAACTTTAATGTTTAGGTAGCCGTGATTTAGTTAAAAAAAGTTCCATTAGTTAGTCTAAACTTAGGCAAGTGTCATATGGCCATAGAATATTTTTAATTATCAAAAATTCGTATAACTTTAGCGTATCGAATATCACGAATACATAGTACATATCTACAATTTCTAGAGAATTTTTTACTTTTTGTTTTATTTTTTGTGCAATTTTGTTTGATAATTACTAATAGTGAAAGTGTTTTTCGGAGGCATAATTACTGTTAAAAAGATAGCAGTCTATATTTAGATTGGTAAAAAATTTGGTTAGAGTTTGAGTTCTTCCTATATTTGCTTCTCCTTTTTTATTAATAGCTACGTATTTTTGGAGAATTTGCGCTACATGCTCTACCCCTATTCCCCGGAAATCCCTATTTATTTTGGATTCAATTACAAGATGATCGGCAATCACCAGAAGAACGAGGTAAGCAGAGGGAACAAACAGTTGTGCCATTACATTTGGACTAAGTGCATCTGATTTTGACAGTCGTACATGTCCGGGGGCAGTGGCTACGTGCTGAGCCGCGAGGCTCTGAAGATCTTCGCCGAGGGCCTCAACGACACCGCCAAGTGCCGCCAGCAGGACGATTCCGCCGAGGACGTGGAGATGGGCAAATGCCTGTTTAATCTCGGCGTTAAGGCCGGCGATTCCCGGGACGAGCAGTTGCGCAACCGATTCTATCCGATTGCCCCCTTCGGAGCGCTTCTTTCGGGCAACGTGGGCATAGACTTTTGGCTCTACAAATACGCCTACTACAACGCAAGATCGGTAAGTCTCGTCAAAAAAGGTTCAATAACTTGAAAATCAAGTGGTACAATTTAAATCAGTTTTAAGGGAGGTTTAGTTAATTAAAAGGAGTCTAAAAGTATTTATTTATTTGTTTCTTGTATCCTAGCGTTACAAGTTTTATATAATTAAATTGATTTAATTACAAAAATAATTGCTTAAAATAAACAATTTTTTCCGAATCTTTGACAAATCCTACCTGTGCTCTTTTTTCAGTGCATGGACTGCCTGTCCGAGTACCCGGTGGCCTTCCACTATGTGAACAGCAAGCAGCTGTACGTGTACGAGTACTTCAACTACCAGCTCCAGTTGGCCGGAAGGCAGCAGGTGGCGGAGCGGCTGCCCGAAAGGATCAGGGAGGAGGACCTGGTCATCCCCGAGAGCGACAATCCGGTGACCTAGCAGCAGGCGACTCAGCCATTGGCCCTCTCCGCCAGCCACAATCTCTACTTTTTTCATCTCCCTTTTTTTCTCCCTTTTTTTTTTGTTTGCATGCTTATCGTATATTTAATATATTATGGGTATAAGGCGGACGTGCCAAGGCAGCCAGATGCTGTCCTGTTGCGACTCCTCGACTTCGTCCTCGTCCTTGCCCGATCCACGTCCTAGTTTATCTATTCATGTATTTATTATTGAGCAGCTCGTGGCAGACGGGCCACACAAAGACGGCCAAAGGACAATGCAGTGGGCAGAAGGATGGACCTCTATTCGTGATTTCCAATGAAGACTCATAAAAACAATATGGAATTTAAATTTATACAACCAAATAAGAAAAATAACTAATCAAAAGTGACAAAAACAGGTGTTTTTTGTGGAAGTATCGATTAATTTACTGTTTGAAACATTTGTGAACTTTTTTTTAGCATTACGTAAGGTTCACCCTAAAAACTGCGTTTCTACGGAAAGAAACAAAAATCCTGGATGGCGGGATAGGGAAAATCGAACCTGATGGCAAAGAATAAGCCATTTAAACTGCGACTTACAGAGCTCATCGAGGGACTTGCTTTAGTTTGTCAATTGCTCGAGACATTGAAGGAATGCAACCTAAATCAAATCATTCGAGGATTTTCACCCAAAAAATTAGAGTAAAATATAATTTTCAACAAAAAAAACAAAATCCAGATTCCAATTTTTCACAAAAAATATATAAGTTTTTTTTACCGTAACAATATAAATATTGATCTATATATGGATTGTCATACCTTTCTGAACTGGACATTTTATTTTTTTGCCAATTTTCGTAAAAAATCATGATGTACCCCCTTATAAAAAAATTGAAAAATGGTAAAAATTTTATTTTTTCAAGATTACCCGGAAAGTATCATGGATTTATTTATTATTTTGTTATCTGCTCAAAACAGTATGTAGTTTGGCTGTAGGACAATTTTTGGCCAAGTTACAGCAAAAATACGAGAAGAAAAGTTCCCATTTTTGTCAAAAACCAAAATCCCTAATTTAAAAAAAAAAACAAAACAGAAAACCGAAAAACACTAGGTAAATGTAAAATATTCTATAATAAATATTCTATTAATCTAAGAGTGCTCTGACTTAACATTTCTGCGACAAACTCTTGTCAACGTTTCGGTCGTCGTAGAATGTTCACTTTTACTTCGAGTCTCCGACCGATCTGTGTTTCTCTACAGATTTCTTACAATTTGTACGAACAAAATTTTGTGATATTTTAACAATGATTTTCACAAAGCCGGCTGCCGATCCAAATACATTCCCGAAGATGAATAAGCTCAATATTACCGGACCAAGAATAGAGCGCTGGATGATCGAAATCGCCAAGGAGCAGCAAAAGATGGAGATGAAGAAAACTACGGATCGTGAGGTAATCATTCCAAAGGTCTGGAATAATCGCGCAAAGATGGGTTTATATTACAAATTGCGGCGTGAGGTGGATATTTTCAATATAATCTCCGATGAGATGCGGCAGAAAATTCAAACGTTTTACGTTGAAGAAGAGGAGGAGGATGATCAGGATCAGAAGCAAAAGCAGGAGAAGCAGGAGGAGATTTCGATGCCAGAAAATGAAGAGAAGCAGAGGGATCAGCCTCGCAAGACTGCAGGGAAAACGACCCCTACCCTTTCACGGGTACGTTTGTTTCTGGGCTCGCTCATTGTTAAGGACATCACCAAGCAGATCCGCGGCCTGATCACCAAATGCGAGGACTTTATCGAAGAAGAGGAGCGGACCACAATGCCGCCGATGAGCCTGATGCCGTCGCACCTCAAGTGGGAGCCCCCCAACTGCGTCTCCACCCTGATCCCCTCCAGGCAGGCGCCCAAGCTGAAGAAGAAGGATGTGCTCAGGGTGATCCAGGGTCGTCCCCGATACAACTGAAATTGAGATAACAGCAATTATAATTACTATTTTACTTTTATTCGTTTGTGAAACAATTAAATTTTTAGTTCAATTTAGTGAAGTGAGTTTTCTTTTAAATAATGGAATGATATTCACCATTAGTCATTTTAAGTTATGTATTTTAAACTATTTTAAGCAAGGCAAGGCAATAATAATCTATACGTATTAATTAGCACAGCAAAATGGTATTTACTCTACGAATATTCTTAAAAATTTAACACACTCTTATTATTTAATTAAATTATATTATTATATTATTGCCTTGAAGCAAACTGCACATTTAGCTCCATTTAACCTTCAGCTAGATTCCTTTATTTATTAACTTCAGTTTGGCATTCAAGCAGCCACACTAACTCTTACTCTCTCCTTTGCTCAGTTGGTCGCCATTAGGATTATGCATTGGCTTAGGCCATAAGCCCAATTCAAGGCACTTAACTCTCATTTTCGCAGGCTGCTAATTAAGGTCAACGCTCTTTTCGTCGCACTCCCGAATTTTCCACACGCATCTCGATACTTGGCTTCCTAGGCTAATTAGGAAATCCAACGCTTCTTGGCCAAAGTCGCGTCAAATGCGAGTGGCATACGAATGGGAATCGGAAATGGAAATGCGAATTTACGGCAAAAAAAATAGCGAAGAAAATGAAGAAAATTTGGGGAAAAACACTTGCCTCTAATGCGTTGTGCGGTGGCTTTTCCAGGGCAATCTGTGCGATGTGCGATGGGTGGTGGGTGGTTGGGTGGTGTTCGGCATTGTTTCACTCGGCGACCCAGACAATTTCCGCTCGTAAAAGTGGTCCTCCGTCTGGTCCTCTGGCTCCTGGCCACTGTAATTAATACCAAAATAATTGTATTTGGATAACACAAACGTAATCAAGATTAATTGAGTAACAGCAGGTAGTTTGCATAATTAGAGCGCAGACAGTGGAACAGCCAGCCAGCCAGCCGCTGTTCGCAGTTCGGTTTGGGTCCTCCTCTTTCCGAGAGCATAATTTGCAATTTCAACTGTCTGCCAAAGGCCCCTGAAACCCCCTTTGCCGCCCCTCACCTGCCACGCCCCCCGCCTGCGGCTGCAGGCTGTCTGTCTCGCTTGTGGCTCATTGGTTGGCAGGATCGGGTCGTCCTGGACGCAGGACATCCACCTACTCCACAGTGACTGTTTGAAATCTGACCATTTTTGGGCCACCCTAAAGGCGGCTCTACTTTGGAGAGAGAGAAAATAAGTTAAAAATGGTTAAAGGGACATATTTAGAAATAAGCTCCATTTAATTATCATAAAATAAATGTATTTATTTGAAATTAAAAATATTACACAATTTTAATAAAGTCTTTTAAGTGCATTTTTGTAAATATTAAAAAATTCTAATTCTGTCTTAATAAGTGATAAACTAATTGTAGTTATTCATTTGACTTTAATTAATATTTGAATTGGCTTGAAAAATATCTTTATTTTTACTACATCAAGCAAGTAACTTTTAAGTACATAAATTAAATTAAAGTAGAGAACCGAATGGCTGAGATTAGCTTAGTTAATATTTTTGTGTATTCTATTTTCTCAATTTTCTTGTTTTTCCCCCCTTTCCTGTAAATCGACCCACCGTTGTGCAAATATATGCCTGCATTTGTGTGCGTGTGTGTGCCTGAGCAAAGGGGGCACACAAATCATTTTCAGTTTGTACAATTTCTATGTCAACTTGTGTTGGCTTTTCTTTTCGTTTTTCGGCACTACCACCCACCGCCCACAAGTTCAGCTTGTTGTGCCACTTTTGTTTAGCCGGCTCACACACATACACACACTCACCTATGGACCCACTCACACATACTCATACGTACGCATATATACACATGCAATTGTTGTTGCTCGACTGCACTTCCGGCCTTTTTGGCTACACCCGCCATTGACTGTTCAACCATGCAGCTGTATACGGGGTTACATACATACAAAAATGCACACATACAGGGACAACGCATACAGACACACTTCCACACACACATACGTATAGTATCAGGTTCGCCGGCATATCCGGGCCTTATAACAGGCCATGGACTTTTCCTTGGACAGTGGAAAGGTGCTAGGGAAAACTAACTAAGTAAAGTTCGGAAAACTTATAAAATTTACTAAAATCTCTGGCTTTTAAAAATTTTTTTTAAAGGTTTAATCCTTTTGTTGTGTTGTGAAGTGATTTAGTAAGAAGTTTACAAAACGAATACAATCATCAAAATAATACAAAGATTAATAGAACTAGCAATATAAAATATATAATATGGTTACTGCAAATTATTATTAAATTATTATTAATACATAAATGGTAATAAATTATTTTTGGTATTTATTAAATACACTTTCTAAAATACATCATTCGGCTTTTCCTACCCTAGGCCTCAGCCTCCTAAAAATAGGCGATAGGTTTCCCCACTGTGCCTACCATGCACCGCTGCCTTCGTGTTGGTTTTCCCTTGCCACTCTTTTTTCCGAAAAATAAGGGGTCGGGGGCCAGGAGGTCCTGTCAGCTTTTTCAGCTTCAAACCATTGAAAAGTTCTCAGTTGCAACTGCAAATTATGTTGCCTGGTGCTGTTGATTGTTGCTACTGTTGCTGCTGCTGTTGCTGCTGACAGTGCCTGATAATGGCGTACAATGTTTATTTACTTGCTTTAACATTTTTGCTGCTGCTGTTCATTTTACTTTATTTTCCCTGCCTCCTCCCCCCTGTGTTGCACATGCAACATGCTGACAATGAGACACTTGAGCATTTGGCGCCTGATTGCATGCCACACTGTGAGCTGCAGTCGGCACTGAGAGAAATTGCAAGAAAATACAAAAAGATTTGGAATTAAAATTAAAAAAATCAAAAAAGTTACTCATAATGATTTTAATTTTATAAAAATAATATTATACTTTTTTGGTACATTTTTTTTCACAGTGTGTTTTTTTCTATGTGTGCTAGTGGGTGTCACTATGTGTGTGTGCGTGTGTAAGTGCTGCCATCTCCGTCGTGTGCAATGTTTGTTTGCTTTTTCGACTTTGACTTAACTTATTTGTTGCTCTTCCTGTTGCTGTTACTGCTATTATTGTTGCCTCTGCAGTTGTTGTAGTTGTCGCCAAACACACACACACACGCACACATATGATACCCGTACACATACACACGCATGAAGCTGCCTCTGCCGCTCCTCTGCCGCCGTCGACGCTGTAAAGTGTCGTGTTGGATTTGCGTAATTTATGCTCTATTTGCCTTTCGGCTTCATTTCACTTTTTGCCGCTGCTCCTGCCACTTTTGCCCACCCACCCCCTTTTACGGCCACCCCTTGGCTGGGTGTCCTTCGCAGGACACACTAAGCTGCGTGGGCTTTTGGCTTTCGGCTAAGCCAACTGTCGACGACAAAAAGTGGCCCCTACAAGCTGAAGATCGGGAGTTTCAATTCGGAATATTTAAACATAGCAAACATTAACATTTTAAGTAAGTACCTCATATATTAACTATATATATTTTAGATCTGGCAAAAATAATTATACTATTTTATTCATTTATAAAATTTATTCATTCATTTATGTTTACTACTTTTGGAAAATTTTTAGTTCCTAATTTATTAACAACTTTTTATTGAGTTCGTAGATCCTTTTTAGTTACCCTTAGACACATTTTCAGTTCTTGTTCTATTAACTAAACTATTTATAATTTTTATATATATTATAGGATTGGCTATAAAATAAATTAATCAATATAAAATGAATATATTTAAATATAAATAAATAATGAATACTAAAAAATGTTTTATTATTTATTTATTATTTATTATTTATTTTATAAATAAATTATTTTCCATTAAAATGCATTCCCCTTAAAATATAGCTATTGGTAAAATCCAAAGTTCTAGTTTTAAATAATTCGTATCCTGCCTGATCCTTAGAAATCCCTGCCATCCCAGTGTAGCGCAGTCACCTGCGGAGGAGGAGGACCACCTCGGCATTCGGCATCCTGGCCACCTTTCTGGCCCGGACTTGGCTTCATTATTTTTATAGCATTGCTCAATATGAGAACTCAATAAATTCTAGCTCGCACAGTGCGGGGCATTTTCAACAGGCGATTAGTTTGCCAAAGGTGCCAGGACTCTCTTCCGAGAGTCCCGAGTCCTGAGTTCCGAGTTCCGAGTCCTTGCTTGCGCAACAGTTGAGTGGGTGGGTGGTTGGACAGACCGACTGGATGGGTGGGTGGTCTGAAAACCTAATAGGTTTTACATAGCACACACGTTGCAAATAAATCTAAATGCAACAGAGCCAGGAAACTTGGTGAAAAATCCTTTGGCAAATAAAATTTACATAGACCAAAAGGCCAGGCGTTTTTTCGATTTCTCTCTTTTCTTGGCTCTCGGCTCTCGGCCCATGTGAATTTATTTGAAAATTTATTGAGTTTTCGTGTTAACCATGCATAATTAAGTTTTTCCAAGTGAAAAACTGGCTGGGCGTTGACTCTGCCCCTCTGTTTTACCCCGATTTTCCCGCTTTTCCCTCTAAATTCTCTGCTTTCCCTGTCGACTTTGAGCTTGTTGTGGGCAGAACCTTGAAGATAGGCTTTTGGCTTTATTTACGAGCCAAGTGCATGACTTTATCCAACCTCCGTTCGCCAGTAAAATTGTTGTTTATGCGTTTGCCGGGGGGTGGGGGGTGTGGGAAATGTGGAGGGGAAGAAAAGGTGGTGGAAATCAAGTTATCCCCGGCTGTCTTGGCCTGGAATTATTATTCCTGATTGCATTTATTTGCTTTATTTCGTTCGCCGGCAAGTTCATCTATAATGCATGCATGTCCTTCGAGTCCCTCTTCCCGTTTTTTCGCTTTCCCGATTTTTCCTGCCATCTGCCTGGCTGTCTTCATCGTCGTCTTCCTCTTCTTCCTCTCTCTCTGGTGGCCTTTTTGTGTTGCTTAAGTGAAATGCATAAAAATCAAATAATTTTCCTGTTTTTCATTCGTCTGAACGCTGCTCTCTGCTCACTTCTTATTTTATTTCTTTAACATTTTTCTTAAATATAAATACACACTTTGTGCGCTGTCTTCCAGGGGCG